ATAATGACCATTAGTCCTCCAGACAGTGACTGGTGACCATCCATCTGTCCATGGCAGCAGTTATTGCTGTTGTAGCGTCTCATTGTAGAGTCTGGGTGCAGCAGGATGAATGACCTGCAGTAGCTCCTGTTTCCAAACAGGCTGTAAAAGTCTTTGACTAAAGGAGCTCAGCTCCTCTCCAGTCTGCTGCAGAGGGTGGAAGGTGGCGTCCATGATGGATGGAAGCTTGGACAGCTCCCTCCTCTCAGCCACTGAGTCCAGAGTGCAGCCTAGGACAGAAACGGCCAGTTTGTTCAGTCTCTTTCTGTCCCGCTCTGAGCTGCCAGGGGCCCAGCAGACGACAGCGTAGAGGAGGGCTGAGGCCTCCACAGAGTCAGAGAGGGTTTGAAGCAGGAGCCTGCTGACTGCAGAGGACCTCTGACTCTTCTTCTACAGGGCGTCGCTGTTATGAGTCCAGTTTATTATTGAGGTGAACACCCAGGGATTGGAAACTCTCCACAGTTTCTATGTCCTGCCCCTGGATGGGGGAGGGAGGTGGGGTTCTTCTCCTGAAGTCCATCACCATCTCCTTGGTCTTAATGGTGTTCAGACACAGGTGGTTCTTCTCTCACCGGTCCACAAAGTTCATGTTGACTGATGGATCCTCCAGCTCCTTCCCTTCAGAATCACAGCCTACAACGGCTGAGTCACTGGAGAACTTCTGCAGATGGCAGCTGAACGTGTGGGAGGTGAAGTCTGAGGTGTAAAGGGTGAAGAGGAACAGAGACAGAACAGGGCCCTGGGGGGCCCCTGGGGGGCCCCGGTTCTGCAGACCTCTGACTGACAGCCGTGCAGCTGCACCTACTGAGGGCGGTCGGTGAGGTAGTTGATGGTCCAGGCAGCCAGATGTCTGTCCACTCCAGCGTCCTCCATCTTCCCCCTCAGCAGCTCTGATTGGAAAGTCAAAGATCATGAGTCACTTCTCTGCCGGGGGTTTCCAGGTGGGTGAGCGCCCGCTGCAGCAGGTAGATGATGGCATCCTCCACTCTGATGTCAGCTCACCACGTGCGCAGGTGGGCTGGGATGAGGCGCTCCGTGGTCTTCATCAGCTGGGAGGTCAGGGTGACTGGTCTAAAGTTGGCCCCACAGAGCTCAGCAGCCCTCGAGGGGGGGCTGTCCGGTCCAGAAGCTTTACTCTGTTTTAGTCTCTTCAGCTGGTCTCTCACCTGCATCGAAGTGACTGTGAGGGGGGGGCAGGACAGTGGGTGTGGCGGG